AAAAAAAAAAAAAAAAAAAAAATAAGAAAACAATAAAAAGAGAAAGAAAAATAATTGATATCTTCAGATAGAACAAGTTTGTTCAGTTTTTTCCAAAGTGAATTCTTTCGTATGATTGTTTTTCATGATCACTTATGGGACCTGAATGAAAGAATAAGAAAGAAAAAAAATAAAAAAAAATAAGAGAGAGAGAGAGAGAGAGAGAAAATTGTCGAAGGTAATCGAGTCGTCGAAATCGAACATAGCGAGCATTCGATGAGGATCGAAGAACCTAGAACGAGATTATTTCTTCTAAAGCATAAAAAGTATAAGAAAACTAAAATGGTGGATTTGAAACTCTGGCTTTACAGCAAACTTCTTCAGACGTCTCTCGGGAATCGGTTGGAAAGAAGTGTAACATCTTTACAACGTGAAATTGCAACAACGTGAAATTACAACGTCAAGTTTTTCCCTACCCCCGTTTACTTTTTTTTATCTTTTTCATTTCTAACAATTTACTTTACTTACACAAAATATGATTCTGATGATGATGATTCTGATGATGATTCTGATGATGATCTCATTTCAACAACGGTGAACTAAAAAAAAAAAGAAAATGTTTTATCTCTAAAAAATATTTCCAATTGAATTCCATTTGAAAAATACAAAATACAAAATAAAATAAGAAACTTTTCTCGTTAATTTTTCCAAGGATCAAAAGGATTAGTGAAGAAAAGGTTGTTTTTTCTTCTATTTCTTCATTTTTCATATTTCTTTTTTAAATCAAATTAAATACAAAATACAAACTAAGGGAGTAAAAAGAAGAAGAAGAAGAAGAAGAAGAAGAAGACAAAAAAATATTCAAAATAACAATTGAAATTGTAAGAAAGTGTTGTTATTGTTGTTGTTGTTGCTGTTGTTGTTGTTACTGTTGTTGTTATTAACGTTGTTATTGTTAATGTTCAACTAATTTTTCGTTTATTTGTTAAATAATATGATGTGAAATTTGGTTTTTTTTTTTTCTTTTCTTTTGTACGATTGAAAGTGTAATAATATCAATCCTATGAACAAAATAAATGGAGTGAAAAAAAGGTCGGGAAGAAGTGTTTTTAGAAAATAAAAATAAAAATTAAAAAGACAAAAACAATCAAAAAACAAGAAATTGAAGATAGAAGTGAGAGAAAGAAAAATAAAAAAGAACTAAAAAAAAAAAGACTAAAAATATAAAAAAAAAAAAAAAAAAAATACAAGAAATTGAAGATAGAAGTGAGAGAGAGAAAAATAAAAAAAAACAGGAAATCCTTTTGAAAGGATAAAAGTAAATCTTTTTTACGAAACGATTTTTTCGAATACATATATACATCTCTCTCTCTCTCTCTTTCTCTTTCTCTTTCTTTCTCTTTCTTACTTTAATCTTATTGAATTCGAGTAAGATACAAAGTATAAAAACGATGCACGTTGAACGGTGAGAGTTATTTATTTCTATTCGTGAAAAGAGAAAACATATTTTACTGAGGGCTGTTTTTATTTCGATATATTCGTCGAGAAAGAAGAAGAAAAGTTTACCTCGTTGAAGTAAAAGAAGAAAGAAGGAAGAAGAAGAAGAAGAAGAGGGAAGGAAAGGAAAGGGGAAAAAAATAATATTAAAAAAAAAAACGACGTTGGTTGTTAACAAAAATGGGCAAGAAAAATAGCAAACTCAAGCAGGAAACTATCGAACGACTTACCACCGATACTTATTGTAAGTACAATTTTTATAATAATAATAATAATTATAATGATTAAAGTTATATTACAAATAAAAAAAAAAAAAAAATTCAACGGTTGGAAAAGAGGAATGGGTAGATAAAGAAATGAAAAATATAATTAACTTATCTGAGAAAAATAATTTCTAAAAGAAAAATTATTAATTATTATTATAGGTGGTACTTCAATATTAAACTTTTAAATTGAAATTTTTTTTATTTTAGATCAAAATTATATGGATAAAGAAATATTTTCAATATTATATTAAAAATTAATATACAAAATAGAAAAAGTAAGATAGAACCAACAAAATGAAGATTATCTATCTAATTAATAATAATAATTATAATAATAATTAGAAAAATAAAAAGATAGAGAAAGAAATAAAAAAGTTACACATTTCATTTTTTTCTAGCAGAACAATTTGAAAAAAAAAAAAAAAGAAATTCATTAAATAATTATTATAGTTAGGTACTTCATTATCAAACACTTTGAAATTATTTTATACAAAATTACAGACAAAGAAATTTATATTTTTTAATTTTAATTAAAAATTAATATATAAAATAGAAAAATAAGATAGACCAACAAAAAATAAGATTGTCTAACCATAAGTAATAATAATAATAAAATAATATTTGTTTTAAATGAAAATTTGTTTAATTTTCTGTCTATTTCTGTAAACAGAAAATGAGGAATCTAGGAAAACATAAAAATGTTGCAGACAGTTTATATCCACTAACATTTTTGCAATTTTATGAAACACCCTTTTTATTCGTTTTCACATTATTATTATTATTATTATTATTATTTTTTTCTTTCTAGCAATCTCATTCTCTCTCATTTTGTTTTATGATCGTGTGGTAGAGAAGACCAACTTTAGAAATGTTCCACTTTCATATTGTTCCCTTTGTATGCGTCTCATGCATCCGTCGTTTACCACGTTTCTACTCGATAAAGTATAAATAATAATACTATGCGAAAATGTAAATCAAATTGAATCAAACCTCTCAAGGAACATGTGGTTTCCTTTTTCATCTATGAACAATTCTTTTCTTTTATTTAAAAGTCTCATTTTCATTCATGAAAAGTAAGACAAATCATTATCAAGTTATTCGGTGTGAATGATCCTTAATTTGAACAAATTTCAAATATCAAATATCCCTTACAATTTTTAATTATTTTTGTATATTAATTATTTATAATTTATTAACAGTAAATTAAAAAACAATAGTACATAGAATACTCTATATATTTAAATATTATACTATACTATATAATACACATAGTATACATAGTATATAGTATACACATTATACATTATTTGTAGTGTATAGTATACAATTTTTTTGGGAATACATACGTAGGTTGGAACTTAAATAATGGCAACTATTTATTCACAATCGATACAAAAGAGTTACATGTTTGCACCTGTTACTGTCCTTTAAAGTAGTCACCAGTGTTGTGTAGAACCCATTGCCAACCATGTGGAAGGCGTAGTATAACGTCAGCAGAGCCTGTTCTGTTGATGGTGTGAATGGAGCTGTCTATAGATTGGTTTGATGATTGACCGATGATTAATTCAATAATTGGCTAATTCAATAATTGGTTTGATGATCGGCTGAGGATTGGTTTGATGATCGGCTGAGGATTGGTTTGATGATCGGCTGAGGATTGGTTTGATGATCGGCTGAGGATTGGTTTGATGACCGGCAGATGTTTGGTCAATGATTGGTTTGTCAGGCTTGGCCTGGCGTTATCATTTGGGCCATCCATCAGCCATGCTAGGCCCAATCATGGTATCCTATCATCGGCCGCCATGCATGGCCCAATCATGGTATCCTATCATCGGCTGCCATGCATGGCCCAATGATGGGCCGATTATAATTCTTTGTATGGGTACTGCCATGTCTCATCCAGTGTTAAGATACGGCGTAAGAAAGCGTTCCTTTCTTCTCCTTTGCGCTCATTGAGCTCCAAGTGCGTCTGAGCAGCGTCGTAACGCATCCATTTTTGCATTTCCGTCAATTCATGCGGAATCCATCGTGGCATTCGCTTCAGAATTGTTTCAGAGATTTGACATGGCAGTAGACCGTATCATTTGCACCATCAACAGAACAGGTTCTGCTAACGGGTTCTACACAACACTGGTGACTACTTTAAAGGACAGTAACAGGTGCAAACATGCAACTCTTTTGTATCGGTTGTGAATAAATAGTTGCCATTATTTAAGTTCCAATCTACGTATAATATAATATTTTTCTTTTATTTTAATTAATTAATAATTACAACAATAATGTAACACAAACATTGTACAACATTTGTACAAATTTTCAGTTTAGTACAAATATTCTAAATAGCAACGTTTAGTTTCTACTTTTATGGTTGATTCAAATGAAAAGCCTTTAGGGTATGTCACCCAAGATGGGTTAGTATAAAAGGAGAGAATGTTAATGTGTAACGAACAGAGAAAATGGTGGTTATTGTACGTCAAGGATATATACATTTTCTTGAAATGTTTACACTCGATGAATGTAGCCAAGAAGCATGGAGTCATTAGCCAAAACAATGCGTTTAGTTATCCCCTTTAACGATCCATGTAATCCAGTATCATTTAACACTTGGGTTAAACACCCTTCTCCTCTTCATCCTCCTCCTCCTCCTCCTCCTCCTCCTCTTCATCCTCATCCTTTTACACCAATGGCGATTCTTATCCGACCCATCGTAACGAAGGATTTTAATGATCCTACTATCATTTCATTTCATACAAATTCACCTACACCGATTTATTATTCATTTTATTATACACACCTTTACAATTTTATTTTTATGTTTTTTTTTTATTTTCTTATTAAGTTTTGTTTTATTTTTTGTATGTGTGTGTGTGTTTATTTCTTATTTTTCATTTTTCATTTGTTCGCAAGAGATTTTATTTTCGCACAGATTTTATTTGAATTCAAAGGTGGAAATTTAATATTTGTATTTTGGATTTTTATTTGTTAACTTTAAACAATATTGAGAGAAATAGGATAATTAAAGAGAGAGAGATAGAATAAAATATATTTTTTTAATTTTTTTTTATTTTAAAATCAAATAGATAATAATTTATATAGTCGGTGTTTATTTTATATGTGTGTCGGTTTTATATTTATTTATTTTTTTTTGTTTTTTTTTTGTATTTTAAAATCAAAATTAATAATAACATATATAACATGTGTTTATTGAAGTGAAAACTTCTTTAGAATGGGTGTGATTTGAAAAAATGTAACGGAGCGGTAGGCGGCGATGTAACGGAGCGGTAGGCGGCGATGTAACGGAGCGGTAGGGATCTATGAAACGGCCAAGATACTAAATAAGAAAAGAAATTGTTAACAATATAATAATAATAATATTATAACAAATAAATCCTACAATTATCTTACTTTTGAAACTGTGCATTCGTCTCAATCTCTCGAAACCTAATTTTTTGAAGGTTTCACTTCTAACACGTGTGATTTACACACATGTTTTTTTATATGTGCATTGCTTTTATATTTTCTTTGTTTATTATTTTATTTTAAAATCAAAATTAATAATAACACATATAACATGTGTTGATTTTATATGTCTGTTGAGTTTTTATTATTTTTTTTTCTATTTTGTTTATTTAAATCAAACTGATAATAATTTACATAGCATGTATTTATTTTATACGTGTATTGGTATTTTCTCTTTTTTTTTTTGTTCATTTTTATTTTTTATTTTTTTTAATTTTTTTTTTAATTATTCTCCTTAGTTTTTTTTTTTTTAATTTTTGTTTAAGGTACACCGCCCTATTTTTATCGCATCCGATTATTCTTGTTTAACAACGTTTAACAATTTAGATCGATCGATTACGAATGGACTGTTTTATCCTGAAACGATTATTCTACCCCTGTTTTCTTTTTTTTTCCTTGTGTTTTTTTTTTCTACCTTTCTTTTCATTCTTTTTTTTTCTCTCTCTGTTGGTTTACATGCAAGAACCATATTTATCGTCTATCCAGGTACTTCCGCAGGTAGGGTAGTTCACTTCGTTTGTTCGCGTATACCCACAATGTCTACCGATATAAGCACCCTCCCTTTTTTTTCCTGTTTTTTTTTTTTTTTTTAGAAATATGGAATAAGGGAAAAAGTAGTTCGTTTTTATTAAAATGATCGATTGAAGAAATGTTTTACGTGATAATAGTTGTTTTCCTATTTTTATTTCATTTCAATTTTAAATTGTTTTTATTTTTTTTTATGTTTTACAATCTTTCTGATAAAATTCTTGAATTATTTCATTGCAAAACAAACATAAAAACAAATCATTTTAAAGAGAATATTCCGAACTTGAATTATTTCATTGAAAAAAAAAGAAAAAAAAAAAGAAAAGAAAAATATAAATCATTTTAAAGAGAATATTTCAAACTTGAATTACTTTAATGAAATATTTGAAATTTTTTCTTGAACACTGTTATTAAATTACATAGAAAATTTGTTTAGAAATGCTAACTTTTGTAACACACTGTATTTGAAAATGAAATAGCCCCTATCATCATACTCGACTGAAGTTCTCGAAAATTCCTCAATTTCTGATAATACGCTTCGAAGATAAACTTGGAACAGAGGGATTTTGCAAAAGGGAAATGTTACAAAAGGGTATTAACGATAGCATGAACTGGATTAAATGTTTAAACAATTGAAACTTGATAGTAGTAGTAGTAGTGTTGCTGGTGGTAGTAATAGTAGAAGTGGTGGTGGTGGTGGTGTTGAGGTGTGGTGGTGGAGTATAAAATATTTTCACTTTTTATTTTAGCCAGTATTTAACTTCATTTTTATTTTATAACATTTTAAAGAAATTTTAAATAATTATAATTTTAATCGCCACAATTATGAAAATGATTTGAATCATATATGTCTCGTTTAAAATAAATATTTAAAAAAGAATTATATAAATAATTTAAATTACATTATATTAACTATTTTTTATATTAATTT